AGCCAAGTGGCCTGCCCCCTGCCACCTGTGTCCTGCCCACCACTTGCCTCCCCAGCTGTCTACCCCCTTCAGTGCATACATGCCCTGCACCTACACCCCCACAGTGTCTGTACACTCTGGCACTTGTCCCCCCTACCATTTGTGCCCACTGTCACCTGCCCCCCACCCCCAATTTGCCTTCCCTGTGGTATCTGGTCTCTGGAGCCTGTACCCCCTGACATCTGCCCTCCCCTGTGATACCCTTTCTCTGGCTCATCTGCCTCTTGCCTGCTTTCCCTCCGTCTACCCCCTGCACTGCCTCTCCATCCCTCCCACTGCTGTCATCCCTGCCTTGCCTGCCATTTCCTCCCCACTACTGACCTTCCAGTCACAGCCCTGGCACGTGCTGGGGCCCTGCTGTGGATAGGGGCAAGTAACACAGAGTATGTGGTCCCAGCCCAGCCAAACAGAAGCTGTTCTAGCAGCAGCAGCTCCAGCCCTGGCCCTGGAGCCAGGGCCAGAGCTGCTTCTCCTATTGCATGGTCAGGCAGGGGCCAGAGGCAGGAAACACTCTATGCTCCCTGCCCCTGGCCAGAGTAGGGCCCCAGCCAGAGCCAGGGATGTTACAGGAAGCTAAGGAGTGGGGGGAGGTGGCAGGGAGCAAAGGCACTGGGGGGAGCGCAGAGGATGTGGTGCAGGGGAAGAGGGAAGCAGCAGCCGCTGCCCCCCCAAGCTTGTACTAAAATCCCCGCTCCCTGCCGCTGAATGGGGGGTGGGAAACCCCATCTTGGTTTCAAGTAAATACTGTAAGTCAGGTCATTTGTCAGCAGTAGTGGGTCTGATGAGAATTTATATTTTTTCTACACAGATTATTGGAAGTCAAAGCACCAATAGAGGACAAGTACTTCTCAGAGAATAAGGTACGGAATGATGAAGAAAAGAGCCAGGAAAAGAACTGATGAAGAGCAGAACAATCAAACAAATGCCTGGTCACACAGGCTTATTGAGAACATTCATGAAATAATTTGGTTTAGAGAACTGGAGGGTCTAAGCTTTTTCTACAGGGACCGAGGTTTCCTCTCTGCTGGTTTAGTGCTTAGGAAATACTAAGGAGACAGTTTTAGAGATGAACCAGGTTGCTTAGCAAATCTTATTTCCTGTAGTTCTTACTTTATTGATAAGTGAAGGAAAAGGAAAATTTTAAGTTAAAAGCAGATTATCTCTGATACCAGTTTCCTATCTAAAATCATCATCTAACGTCACAGTAGTATTAATCTTATCCTTCTCTCTCACTGATTACTGTCCTTCCTAATTATACATGGGGCTTCCTGAGGTCCTGGAGCAACCTAGGTTTAGAAGGGCACAAAGGTAAGCTAAAGCTATTGTAGCTCACCCTTCCCCTTGGCACAGCATGGAATTTTACCCCTGTATGTTTCAAGATCTTTCCACATCTGTGGAAATAAACTGTAAAATGTGAGATGAGTGTAAATCAATGCAACACTGCTTGCCCAAATCTGTAGAGAATCTAAACAACGGATGGCAGAAGTGGGTTCTACCTTTGGGGATTGCAACTGTCATGCCCTGCTTGTAATGCTAAATGGGATGAATGTTCTTGCTAAGTTTTATGAAAAACCCCATGGAGGGAGTACAGGCTGAGAAGCATTGCTTCAGAGTTTCTAGACAATGTAAAGCAATGTTCATGTGTCTTAGTGGCAAATCACAAGCAGCTACAGTTCAACCAATCTTTTCAAACTCAAAAGTTGCCTTGCCTCTGAAAATTCGGACTGCCAAGGAGCCTAGCTTATTAAAGCAAACTGTAGACTATAAAACAGTAGAGAACCCTGCAAAGATAATTACAGATAATACTAAGTTTGATAAGCAGTTGTGTTATGAGCCCCAAACAGAATAAATGGAGCAAAGGGGAGCTTTGTAAAATGTACATGACAATGATAAATGGTGATAGATTGGGTCTTCTTCTCCTAGTCCCGCTTATTAATCTAAAACCATGAAAAGACTGTATATAGTGCCACTAGATAATGCAAATGACAAGTAGTCATGTCAAATTAACTAGTGATTTCCTTCTAATTGAAGCCATTTTGATCTACAACATACTAATCAATTTACAACTCAGTGGATGCATCTACATGTGTAATTAAGATAAAGCAATAAACTCCAGAATAAACTGCTTCTGGGCACAGCACCTACATGCATGTCCAGGACAGCAGCAATCTGACCTAAGGCAGAGCAGGCCCAGGCTGGCAGGGGGCATGGGGATCAGCCCAGGCTCCAGGTAGCAGTGTTGGGCAGCAGAGGGGCTGGCTGGGGCATAAGAGTGCTAAACCTGCAGAGCTGAGGGGCTAGGCAGCAGCCAGGGGTCTGGTCACTGCTTGGTCACTGTCTACACATGCATTTCAGCACAATTACTCTGCTGTAAGACTGTACTGTCCCTGATAGTACTATCTTACAGAGAAGTTTATTAGTTTACTGTGCCCCAGTACCAGCACACATATAGACAGTGATATTCTACTGCAGAGATAATTAGTCTACTCTGCAATAAAGTGCATGTGTAGACACATCCAGTTTTACTTTAGCTTTTCTTAATGTGAATGCTAAAAGGAAGCTGCTCTAGTTAAAATAAACTGAATTTCAGAACAATTGCTTTCTGCTGAAATAGGTAAACCAGATGGAGTTTAAAGGTTTATCAGATAGAGAACACAAAATCATTTACGAGAACAAAGGAGGAGCAAAATATACAACATACTGAGAGGGCGGAAAAACAGTTTAGGCTACAAAACACAGGCATACCTTTAAAACCACACTTTAGTATATTTTATCATATAACCACGATCCTCGTCCTCCCAACTGCACCACTTCAAACACGATAGTCCACTTTCCCATCAAAGCAATACAGTAAACATGATGTAAAATGCAATAATGGAACTTAAACTCTTTTTGAAAGAAAAATCAACCCTGTACCTGATCTTCACTAGTTAAGCCAAGGTGCATCACAAGATAAAAATGCACTAGGAAATCAGAATTTGGCAGGACATCTTGGCGCCTGGTCATCATAGCACAGATCAGCCTGTATGCTTGAAGTTTGCCTTCCTTATATTCATTTGGCAAGGTTGTTGCCTGAAAAGACAAATAATTTTTATTATTACAGCCTTTTTATTTGCTAAATAAATCAACACTGTATTTCCAGCAAGATATATTTATTTGCTGAATACTGCATTTATATTTACAAAAATAGGCTTTATTTCTACATTCTTAATACTGCAAGTATAGACTTGTTTTTATAATCTAGACATCAACATAGGTAAACAATTGACTATGATTATTTTTCTAATATGTTTAGAACCAGGATTGCAGAAACACTGTAAAAACAATATAACAAGACGATAAACATTTATGAACCAATATAGATGTCCAGGAAAATACTACTCCATGTAGAAATTAAAACTACTTTACCTTGAACAACCATGAGGCAAATATTCTGAGTGGTGGAATTAAAAGAGGAGGAGAGGGAGTAGACTGGTTATCCACGCTTATAGCAAGATTGTCCCTTATCTGATTTTTTAAAAAAAGGTAGAAGATTAATAAAATATCCTCTAATATTTTAACACAGCTGTTATTTATAACACAGCCTTTTTATCAGAAGTAGCACCTTTAAAAATACATACAAATTTCCACTGAAGCTGAATTCAACAGGAAAACTGGAAGTATATTAAGCATATATTATCATCTTACAGGTGTTTTCTTAGAATCTACACTGACATTCAGTATTAAGACAATGATTTTATACTTTCATTGTATTGCTTCTATTTCACTGAGAATAAATTATCTTAAATCCTTATTGTCATCAAAAAGGAACCTCTCTTATAAGGTGTGCCTGACAAAATTCAAGGAAACATTTCTTAAAAGATTTAATATACCATCCTCCCCCATAACAGTAGACATTATTTGCCTTGTTCACGGTTAATATCATAGTACTTCTAAATGAAGTGAAGTGAGAGGTCAAAAATCCTTGAAAATTCTAACAGAAAGTAATTTTACTAGTTAATAAACTTTAAATAAAGAATATACTGTAAACAATATCTTTCTACAGTAGTGTTGAAGTGTTATAGTAGTAATGATGGTTCAGAAAATGTACAAAGGGGCAAAGGTTTTTTGTGAAATCTTTTAATGGACCAACTGCATAGCTGGGAAAGCAGCTAGAAAGATCATGACACTTTTAGCAAATACATTACTGTTGTCTTTGCACTGAAAGTATGTATTAGAAACAATACCTTTGCTAGTTTGTACCATAATTCATAGAGATACCCAAAAACTCTGGCGTGGATTTTAGGTGACTGGATATTGTTGACATCTCCAAGGATTCCCAAGATCCTCCTCCATAATACAGCAGCAGAATCAGGATGCCAACCTATTAGGTTTCCACCAGCAATTATACTGCAGTCATCAGCAAGGAATTCACTGCTGTCTACAGAATAAAAACACGCAGTTGTTGTTAGTTAGAAATGGGATGTGTAGTCTATCTCTTTGATCAACAAAATGTAAACAGTAATAGAAAATAAGCTAATGTGACAAGTACAAGCAAAGAGATTTTCACAGGGACATATGGGGAGATCAGGATGCCTTAAGTTCAAAGGGGCGCCAAAGACCTGCCAAAGTGACAGTAAGGTCCCATTAAAGAACAGGTTTCACGATGAGAAATACCCTCACTAAGCCTCAAAGAAATCTGTCATGGTTGGATGGTTAAAAAAAAAAAGGCATATCCTCTAGAAATGGATGGTAAGTACTAATGGCTGCAAAGTTCACCAAACAGAAACAGAAGTAAGTGAAATACTTAGGCCATGAACAGACGCATGGTTGAAGAACTCAAAATTCTACTCCACTCTGGAATGCTTCAAATTCAAAGAACACAGGCTACCAACAGATGTGCAGCCACCTGCCATACCTCCTCACTACAGCGCTTCAAAATCACTGCAATGGCATGTGGCAGCATACTTTACAGTGGTGGTCTCCAACCTTTTTAAATAGATCACCTTTGGCATTTAAAAGCAACCCAAGATCTACCATGTGCCGCTGCAACTCCGCTTCCCCCCCACCCAGCAGGTAAGTGTGTGTGTGTGGGGGGGGGGGGGGTGCAGATCAAGGCAGAGGGATAAAAAATGATTTGGGGGCATGCCTCCCCAGCAGGTAAGTCCCACCTGGTTACAGCCCCACTCAACGTACCCCTGCTCCTGCCTCTGCAGCACTGACCCTCACTGCAGGGACCTTGATCTAGCCCCCCACCCCTTCCCTCCTCCATGGACTGATCTGCTGGGCTGGGTTGCACGTGTACATGCATGCAGGCACTCAGCCCCTCACCCCGGCCTCGGATCGACTCCAAGAGGCTCTGAGATCTACTGCAAGAGGATCTGAGATCCACCTGGTTGGTGACCACTGCTTTACAGCCAGGGGGGTAAGCAGGGTGTTTTTCAGTCCCGAGGCTCCACAGCCCTACCCCCATATGGGGGTGGTGAGTGGGGCAGGCAGCCAGTGCATGCTTGCCTGTGTGCTTGACTGCCAGTCTCTCTGGGCCTGTGGAGAAAGGTTCCTTCTATGCTTTCTTAGACTCCAGAGATTGCCAAGGATGGTCAAGTGCACAGGAGAGAGCTCAGTGGTTGAACAGGGTGGGGAGTGGGGTAGGGAGGAAAAAGGAACAGAACACTGTGGGATGCCAGAGAACTAAGCAACCCCTTGTTGTACTACATTTAAGAATGTACGTGCAACTGGAAGCTCTTCAAAATGAAGTGCTTCAATGAAGTTGTAGCTCCACCCAGGATCAGTTTTGGAGTAGTTCAGCCATTTTCAGAATGCTTCATAGGGTGTGTACTTCTGTTTAGAACCTTAAAGTCTTGACAGAGAAAAGGTAGTCCCAAACTGTCAGGATCTGAAGAGGTACAAGTCGATGATGTTCATACCTTCATCTTGCATAACAATCTTTTCTACTATTAAACAATATGCTCTGAACACTAGGCACTGAATGTACTTTTATTATTGCTGACACTCATCCAGAGAACATGAAAGGGTGGATGGTTTGGAAAGAAGAGTCACTTCATTTTGAGTCAGCACATCTGCTGTTGGAGGAAGTAATATGTTTGTCAACCTGTCCTCCAATGTAAACTCTAGAAACCAATACTGTCTCACACATATGGCTATCTTATCTCTCTGAGCTCTCTTGGAGGCAAAGGAATTGATGGATAAGCATACAATACAGCATGAGACCAAAGTATAATAAATACATTTCACAGAAATCTTGAACTCAACTCCTTTCTGGAACAGAAAATTTAACTTTAATTATTCCTGTCAGTCACAAATAAATACACTGATGGATTTACTTCCCCTTCCTGGAAGAGTGAATGAATCACTGAATCATATATTTCCCATTTGTGCTTTGTTGAAAAGAGCTTGCTAGGATAATATGCCAATGTCTGCTGCAGACCTGCCATGCGAACTGCTGTAAGCATAACACTTTATGCATGAATTCCATAGTTGTACTGTTCTCTTGCACAGGAGAAGCAAGTGTGCCCATATCTGCCTGTTTTATAGGCAACTCAGCCCTTTTATTGTCTGTCATGATATAAATGGAAATTTTATGAATCAGGTAAGACCTATACGCAATTTTTGTGTGCTTTTTTTTTTTTAAAGAGCAACTTCTCTGAAGCCCGTTTTCATTTTACTTGATGCTGTTTAAAATTATAACATCAAGCAAAATGAATGGTGTCGTGCAATGGATAGACCAAAAAGGGTAAAAATTTTGTACTGGTAGTGGTTTGGAACTACTACAAACCATACAAAATATTGGTACACAAGATGTATGGCAATGGGAAAGCAAACGTCCTGAAGGTCGAGAGTTGTAAAGCTGATCTAATACCTGGAGTTTTAAGTATCATACTGGACCCTATTGAATAAATGAAAGCATTCAACATTCTGATATCTAGGACAAGTTTCCACTTCCTTTATTCTTGGATATGAGGAAATAAAATACATGACCTTCCTTTGTGTTGCAGAGGAACTTTTTCTATAGCTTGGAGAGAGAGAAGAGAGTGCAAACCTACTTCTCTGCTCAAAACACCTTTTTAAAAGCGTCCCTAAAAACAGACAGGGGAGGGGGTTGGAGCACATACAGCATGGAAATGATTTTTTTAATGAATTGTAACAAAGTCTGATCTACTTGTCTGTCAGTAATAGTGTTTCGTGAAGAGGAAGTTTTCAAAGGGTACTGAAAGAAGAGGGGTAAGAGCCAAAGAGCTTACTGCTCTCATTGGCTCCCATCAAATAATTGTTTACTGGAAGATTGACAGATGAAGGTAGGAGTCACTGGCAAAAACTTGGGAGAAGATATTCAGAGTTCTCTCTCTTATGTACTTAGGAGTAATTTCTTTTTATTGCAGTCATATACCCTGCCAAAGAACATAGAACAGCACGAGAATCCTTCAAGAGCAGAGGGTATTTGTTTTCAGGCAGAATAAACTGGAGCCCTGAATGGAAGATCCTCCATTTTGGGAAGGTTTTCTCCTTGGAAAACCACTTAGGCACCTAATAGCTGGAGTAGGATTTGGCCTAAATGGAGTCTACTTGGTTGGCAGAGGGGGCGGAGGGTGCAAGGGTTCTGGAAGAGGTGCAGATTACGAGATCTGCCTCAAGATTTAGGAGAGAAACAACATGCTTCCTTGGAATGTTCCTGCTGGAGCTTCTGGAAGAGGAAGACTTGACCAGCACAGCACAGAAGCAAACAGAAGCCAAACTTGAAAAGGCATTGTTCAACTCCATGGCTGATGCACAGGCAGGTTACCTAAACCCACATCGTAGAACAGCGGTTCTTAACTGGGGTATCGTGAAATCCTTTTAATGGTGCCATAGGGTAAAAGGTCAGCCCTAATAAATTACCCTAATAAATTAGTTTTTGAAATGGGGCGTGTGGTAGAAAGCCACCTTTGTCTCTCCCCCCAAAACTCTGCTCTGTGACAATTTGATTAGGATGGGCCCAGCAGAGGATACATACCTTTACCCTATCTCTTTAGGTAACCTGAGCTGGATACATTCCTGAGGGAGGGGGGAAACCTGCTCCCTCTGCCTATGTGACTAGTATCACATACCTGGGTGAGGGGCTTCCTCCCTGGTGTGCTAGAGTCTGCCCGGCAACTAGTGATGCATTTCAAATTGGTTGACTGACTGCCAACAGGTGCTGGCCTCCATTGGACCAGGTAAATGAGGTCACAAGGGCTATATAAGTTAAGGACTGCCCAGGAGGAGGGGGCAGCAGCCATGAGGGTGACTCAGGGACAGAGAAGAGCAGTACCATCTAAAACTTGCTCTCTCTCTCAAAACTCATGATCAAGGAACTGCCTGCCTCCAGAGGGAATCTCCACCTGCCTCTGGATGATACTTGTGAGTAAGCGACCTGAGATCCAACTAGATATATAGCTTGCAATAACTCAGATGCGTGATCAAAAGGCTACCCAGCCAGGGGAGTTTGCTCTATGGGATTTCTCTGATATCGCTGTACCCTGTATCCTATTCTAATCCTACCCTCTATAACCAATAACGTTCTCCTTTGTACCTATTGTGGGAGACTTATTGGGAGTGGGTCTAGATTATGCCTTGGGGTCCCCTTGGTTCGGCTGACTAAGGGAGACCATTACTTGTGCTTCCGACTGAGGGAAGCATCCCAACTTCTTGAAGTGAATCAAGTACCCTTGAGGGCTACTAGACCTCTGTTTCCCAGGTGTGCAGAGCCAGAATCAGTCCAGAGCCTTGGGTGGTGGCAGTGGAACCCCCAGGCTAGCGGGTGTGCTCCAGGAAGGGGGTCAGCCAGAAGTGAGGCACCCCCAGGGAGGCACTCGGAGCCTGGAAGGTGGTCGGGCGCAGTGAGGTGGGTGGCTCAACGCAGGAGCGCCCCCTACTGGCCCACCACACGGTGCCACTAAATTCAGAAAGGTTATGGAAGGGTGCTTTGAGTCTAAAGAGATTGGCAACATGTCCAAGAAGAACCGCATTGAATAGTGTAGGACAGTGTTTCCCAACCTTTTACATCCCATTGCACACTTACATAAATAAAAAAAAATTGTGGCACACGCCCCCTCCCCCTCCCCCTGCTCCCAACAGATGATATGGCCGCTACCGCCACTCACTGCCCCGCAGAGTGCAGGGGGTGGCACGAGGCACTGGCTGGAACCACGCCCCCCCAAGAGCATTATGGACAGAGCATTTATTATTTATTTCTTTTTGTGAGACTTCCAAAATTCCACGGCACACATGTTCATGTCTGACTGCACACCGGTTGGGAAATGCTGGTTTAGGACAGGGGTATCAAGCATATGGACTATGGAGCAGCTTAATCCATCTTATCGGGATACCAGCAAGTCACTGGAAGCTGGGGATGTGGCCTGCTGCAGAATCCAGGGCCCTTGGTGTATGGAGTGATCAGCACCA